AGGAATTGTAAATTAATTGTAAATTTGAAAAGAACTTAACACTGTCTGAGTGATTGTCCATTGATTTTTTTTTTTTTTTTTTTCTCATGATATTGTCTCAAGAGGACATTTCCTTTTCTGTCGAGGTCTTGGAAAAGGAGGGCAGGATTCCCCATGAAGTGGTGGTGGTGGTGGTGGGGTCTCCAGGGCAGCCAGTGTGCTATTTATCTCCTGTCATTTGCTTGCTTTTCCATTTCCCGAGCCTCTGATACACCCCCAAGCCTTGAAAGAAAGTCTGATAAGCTGTGTTGGGAGGAGGGATCAGGCAGGCAGGAGCTGGGGAGCAGGTCTCCTAGTCAGCAAGTGTTTAGCCATTCTGTCCAGATTCTTCTGGTATCCTGACTGGAAGTGAAGAGAAAATACAACATCCCTTAAATAGCCTGGGCAGAGAAAGTATGGTATGGTATATGGTAGGAAAGAATATCTTTGTAAGGGTCAGGGTACTGGGAATCTGGCTGGAACAATTTCACCTTTCTGTACTACCTCAGAGCCCTGTCCTGTAAAATGAGAAATTTGTCCTGAATAACCTCGGGGGGCTCATCCAGCTTCAAATCCTATGATTTGTACCTGGCCTTTCACAGGGTATCAGTGTTCTACCTTGGCTCTCGAGTATCAAATCCTTAGACGAGGACTGGTCTTTCAGGGAGTATCAAGAGAGAGAGTATTAGTTGTGATTTGCTCAGGGGGAACATCTACCTTGAAGGAGAAACAAAACAAAACCTCATATGAAATGTTAGTCATTTCATTCATAATTTGCCCGTGTATAGTACTTTTCAGGAGTCCTGGTGTGGCACTGTGGGTTAATGTTCTGGACAGCAAGGTTGGTTTGAATCGCAAGGTCAGTGATTCAAACTCACCAGCCGCTCCTCAGGAACCCTATACAGGGTTGCTATGGGTCGGAATCGACTCGATGGCAGTTAACAACAACAACAATAGCACTTTTCACTTTGGGATGGACACCCCCATCTACAATCTCCTTTCACAATGTAAGCCCCAGTAGTGGACCTTTCCTTGGGCACTTGTGCTATATACCCCAGGAAGTGCTGTGGAGAGGAGGAAGTGTTGCCTGTCTGGTCAGATTCTGGCCTGTGTCTAATACCAGTTCTCTCTTACAGGTGAGGAGTTTTATGAAGCCTCACCCTATGAGCCGGTCACCTCCCGCCTCTCAGACATCTTCAGGCTTGCTTCAATCTTCTCAGGTAAGTGGGCTGTACTGTGACTCTGCCTGTCAGCACTGAGCACCTAAGCTCTCCTCTCATCCCTGTGGCAGATAGAGCTCTGGGCTTGGACTTGGGTGTCTAGACTTCATTTGGCTCTGCTCTTACCACAATGGAACCATGACACCTACCTACCTTGATTGTTGTGTGGATTAAAACATGTATAGAAATTGCTTACCATGATGCCTTTATGTAGGAAGTTCTTGAATCTGAAACCTGACGTCACTCTCCTGCTTTGTCACCATTCTTGCCCTGCTGTTTCCTTCACTCCAGTTCCCAGACTCTTTTGCTTTGGAACTCTTCTACTTTGGTTCGGTTCTTAATCTCTCTGTACCTCAGTTTCCCAAGTTTTGAAATGGGAGAGAATAATAGTACCTATCTTGTTGGATTGTTGCCAGGGCAAAATAAGTTGATGTATTCTACAGGGGCTCAACTTGCTGCTGGACACATGTAGGTATTCAGTAATTATTGGCTGTGGTGGTTGGCATTAGTGTGGCCACTGTTCATCCTACTCTGGGTTTTCCTTCACCATGTCCCCTCACAGTCCTCTGCCTTTCCTGAGAGTTATGCTTTTTGAACCATCATGAGGGAGATCTTTGAGGGATAGTGTTTGATTCCCAGGCTGCTCTCCACTCCTGGTCTGCTCTGGGAAGTGAAAAGGAGTGATGGTGAGCTCTAGTTTCACCTGTGCAGTCCATGTGTAGGAATAAATGGATGTTTTGACTCATCTTTCTTGAGTTTGTTCCTTTTGGCTGTTGGTAGACCAGTGGGCTAAAGGCATCCTGCTTCTACTCGGGTACTGGGGAAGTGCTTTGTCAGGGGTGTGTTATCCAATGAGCAAGGTAAGTGAAAAACATGCAAAACTGTTCACTACAGATTAGTAAGTAAGTACAAGTAAGCCTGTGTTTACCTTGCTTACTGGGTATTCTGTCCCTGTCAGGAATTGTAAATTAATTGTAAATTTGAAAAGAACCTTTGATTCTGTAGGAAGTTGCTGTGGGGTTGGAAGAAAGACAGATACCAGCCATACTTAAAAGCAGAAGCTGATATGGTGAAAAAATGTGAAATTATTCACTGTAGATTAGTTATTGTAGTTGTTGCTAAGTGCCATAGAGTCAGTTCCGACCCATAACGACCCTGTATAGGGTTTCCAAGGAGCAGCTGGTGAGCTTGAACCACCGACCTTGCAGTTCAAATGGCTTTGTGATACAAATAAGCCCATACATACCTTGTTTGTTGGGTAATCCAACCTCGGGTTTCACAGAGTCCTTGGAAGTGGGGGTGAGCTCTTCTTGGAGTCACCTTTGATGCTCCAGGGTGGACAAAGTGCTGCTGGCTCTCCAGGATTTGTGAGTAGAGGCCCTCAGCCCTAGGTTTATAAGGAGTTTGATGGTAGTCTTCAAGCCTCTGAAGTGTCTGTTATTCTAACTAGTGTTTCTCAACAGCAGCACTATTAAGATTTTGTTGTTGCTAAGTGCCATTGAAGGAGCTCTGGTAGTGTAGTGGTTATGAATTGGGCTGTGAACCGCAAGGTCAGCAGTTCGAAACTACCAGCTGTTCCACGGGAGTAAGATGAGGCTTTCTGCTCCCGTAAAGATTTACAGCCTCGGAAACCCTGTTCAGGGTCGCTGTGGGTCAGAACTGACTCGACAGTACTAAACAACAACAACAACAAGTGCCATTGAGTTGGTTCCAACTCATAACAATGCATATAGGGCTTCTGAGGCTGTAAATCTTTTCAGGAGCAGAGAACCTCATCTTTTTCCTGTGGAGCAACTGGTGGGATTGAGCTGCCGACTTTGTGATTAGCAATCCAGTACTCACCCTACAGCTCCACCAACACTCCATTGAGATAGTGGGCTGAGTAATTCTCTGTCATGTGAGGCTTTCCTAAGCCTGTACCCACTAGATACTAGCAGCATCTCCCACCCATTTCACAACCCAAATATCTTCAGACGTTGTCAAATGCCTCCTCGAAACCCAAATCATTCCTGGTTGAGAACCACTGCTCTAAACTGTAAAATCAAAGACCTTTCAGTGAGATCCTTACTCTTACAAATGAAGAATTCTCTTGGGCAATATTTCTTAGCTTTTTATTTTTTTTATTTTCGCACAATGCTAAGGAGAAAAACTAATTCTTCTTAATGAAAAAAATGAAATACCATGGAATAAAAATGTTCAGGTAGGGTTGAGTTTTAGAGGGCCACAAACCATTGTAATGTCCCAATTTCTTCTGGTTTTTTTTTGGTCTACCCAAGAACTAATTTCTGCCTCCTTGTGGGGTGACACTTCCAACTGTAAAGGGTGTATAAGCTAAAGGATTGAGATGGGGATGATATTTGTTTCCCTGGTAGGAGAAATCTTGGACCCATTGGCAGACGGTGGCCATCTGGACATGCCTTCGGGTCCTGGTCATAGTTAGGGAATCATGGAGATGAATAGAGTGTTGAACAGCCTGTCCTGGGCTCTTACCATCAACCTCTCCCCCCCGGGGGAGTCGGGTAATAGAGGCACTGGGCTCAGACCAGACTCCCATTATGATTCTGCCTTATGGCACCTCAGGTATATCTTGACTATCTGACAGGGCCTGGACAAGAGGAAGGTCCCATCTAATGCAGATATTCCAACTCTTAGATATCGTGTTTAGTTTAAAATAGAAATCCACCATGTTTCTGATGCAGTGTTGTGGGGCTGAGATGTAGGTTAAGAACATCTTTAACATGTGGATGCTTGCCCTGGTGGCCGTAAATGTACCCACTTCCTACCCTACTGTAGCATAGGTATCTGCGGGGTACTAATGCACAGCCAGGCACCCTTGGAGTTACCTCTAACAAATAAATAACTTTGACTTGCCCTTTAACTCTTGTAGATCAGGGACCCTCACCTTAGCCGAGGTCCCTGTTGCTTCCTGGAGTCACATTTAAGTATCTTGCTAACAGAAAATCTTTACTTAATGGACTTGACATTCTATGGGACAAGGATGTTGACAAGACAAATGAGGAAATTACTAGGTCTGTAGCTCAGTGAACAGCTCTGTTATCCACTGCCAAGAGATAACTGGGCCCCACACAGCCTTTAATCCCTGTGCTCAAGGGACAACTCCCCACTGTGAAAGTAAGGCTTTGGGATCTATGCCACTTCCTTTTTTGTAGCCCCTAATGACTCTGCCATAGTCCTGGTGTGGCACTGTGGGTTAATGTGTCAGACTGCAAAGCCGTTTGAACTGCAAGGTCGGTGGTTCAAGCTCACCAGCTGCTTCTTGGAAACCCTATATAGGGTTGCTGTGGGGTAGAATAGACACTACGACATTTAACAATGACAATGACTCTGCTCTATCCTGATTGGCCCTCAAGTTGGATGAGTGGATTATTATGTATGGGGAAACTGGGGTACGTAGCTGAGTGGGGCAAGGACTTGGCTTGGCCACCAGGAAACCAAGTGGATCATGGTGGGAGATGCAACAGAAAGCGTGCTGAAACCAAAGAGACCAGGGTTCCAGTGCAGACTCTGCCACAAATCAGCTGTGGGCCTTTGGGCAGGTTACTTCCCTGCTCCAACAAATGCCTCCCAACCTTTTTCTCATCAGAAAATGATAATATTGTATAGCCAATTATGGTGGACAGAAGAAACTAGCTTAACCAGTTTGGAGCTCAGGCAATAGCAGACCCTTTGCCTGGCTGGCCTGTGAGCTAAGAGATCAACATAGAACTCATCTATGGCATGCTGGTTAGAAAGTCTTGGCTTCAGTGATCTAATATCTTACTCCTGTGGTATAGGATTACAAGGCTGATAAGGTTGCAATCCTGTAGGATTGTATGGAGTCAGGTGGGAAACTCCTTTCCATTCCCACACACCTTATTTGGCTATATGCTCGCTACTTCACTGTGTCTTGGTGGCAAGGCTATGGATGTAGGGCAAGGACTCTTGGTGTCCCTACTCTTTCCCTACACTACACCAGAAAATTGAAGGAGGAGGATGCTGTTGTATTTTGGGAGCTCAGTTACTACTATCTCTTTTCCACATAATATCTGAAAATTTGGGACCCTGTTGTAGGAGCCTACTAGAATGTGCATTCTCTATCTCTTAACTTTTCTTTTTGTTGGGGTTCTTGGGATGTCCCACTGGGATAATGTTGGTAGAGAAAGCTGCCAGGATTCCTCGAAAATTCTCTTCTGGAAGGGTAGATCCTCCCCTCTTCTCTGTCCAGTCCCACTTCACAGGCCCTGACTTCAGTAACTGGGTCTGGAACTCCTGTGTCCAGTTAGTCCTGAGTCCAAGTCCAGGAGGAGAGCAAACTGATTCCATCCTCAACCCTGGGGACAGTGATGCTGGAGGTATCCAGATGTCCTGTCCCAGCCCTACAGGTGAGGCAAGCTGTTTCATGGAGAAGAGCTGAAGTTTATCTTGTTTCTAGCATGGAGGCAGCCTTGTGCTCTGGAAGGCCTTAAGCCAAATAGCCCTGCATTTGAATCCAGCTCAGTCACTTAGAGGTGTGTGTGTGTGAGGATCTTGGGCCTTACTGGGGCATTTTAGAGCTGTAGTGACTGTATTTGTAGAATGTGGATGTGATACCTCCAAATAGGATTGATAAAGAGGATTCAATGACATGGCAGGGTCTGTACTAGGCATGGCAGTCAGTCATTGTCTCGCCCGGAGTTGTTCAGTAGAAGTGGGGTGTGTTCTCCAGGGGATGCAGCAGGTGGAGGAACTGAAGCAATCCATCCCCAGACTTCCATGAGTCTGTGAATATTGAGTCCCAGCTGGTCACTTCTGAGAAGGCAGGCAGGAGAGGATGGAACAAGGTAGAGAAAAGAGAGAACTGATTCTCAGGGCAAGAAGGAGAGCTTTGAGACAGTGGTTTTGAGACAGAGGGAAGATTGATGTGGAGAGCAGAATTGCACCTGAGTGGAAAGCAGGGAAGAGGAGGTGCTACTGCACACCATGGAGAGTGGGGAAGTTCTGGGGAGATCAAAGCAAGGATG